GGGGGCAGTCAATCATTCCTACCCCCCTGTGTAAGCAATCCAGAAGCTATAAGTTACTTGAGTGGCTTCCTTAAGTGGTATGCGAATCATTCCTCCTCTAACCATCAATTTATCCAATTCTTCTTGACAACCTCATTTGAATTGCTTCGCCATGTATGGAAAAGTAGCCCTCGAAGAGGCATTTGCCTTGCCCAGATTCCAGGAGCGGACTAGATGGTGGGCTTCGCTATTTGCTGTTGACCCCGACAAGCATGCTGCTGAGATCACCGACATTACAAATCAGCGTATCAAGTACATGGATGAGCATGGCGTTGGATATACCATCCTCTCTTACACAGCCCCTGGTGTTCAGGACGTATGGGATCCCAAGGAAGCCCAAGCATTGGCTGTCGAAGTGAACGATTACATTGCTGGCGCTATCAAAGAGCACCCTGAGCGCCTCGGCGCTTTCGCGTAAGGATTTTGAACTTGGGCATCAATCGATCAACATAACAAGTTTCTAACCATTGCAACTTGCAGGACTTTATCGATGCACGATCCCAAGGAGGCCGCCGAAGAATTGAGACGCACAGTCACCAAGTATGGGTTCAAGGGCGCGCTGGTACGTGAATCCTAAACCATAGCCTTTCAAATACCCCGCTTACCGTCTATTGCAGGTCAACGACACACAGCGGGCTGGCCCAGATGGGGATGACATGGTCTTCTATGATGGACCTGAGTGGGATGTCTTCTGGTCAACAGTAACCGAGCTGGATGTGCCATTCTATCTTCACCCTCGCAACCCCACAGGCTCCATCCACGAAAAGCTGTGGGCGAAGCGCAAATGGCTGATTGGCCCCCCTCTGAGCTTTGCTCAAGGAGTGAGCCTCCACGTGCTCGGCATGGTGAGATTCCTGTCATGACGCTGTAGTACTTGGTGCCAATGTTAACCATGACAATCCTAGGTTACAAACGGAACCTTTGATCGCCACCCAAAACTACAGATTGTGCTCGGCCACCTCGGAGAGCACATCCCGTTCGACATGTGGCGCATCAACCACTGGTTCGAAGATGTGAAGAAGCCTCTTGGGCTCGACTGCAAGTTGACCATCCGCGAATACTTTGACAGGAATATCTGGATCACGACAAGCGGCCACTTTTCAACATCCACCCTCCAATTCTGTCTCACAGAAGTCGGCGCTGACCGGATCCTATTCTCTATTGACTACCCCTTTGAGAACTTCTCGGACGCGTGTACTTGGTATGACGCTCTTGCCATCAATGACGCAGACAAGAGGAAGATCGGAAGGGACAATGCCAAGAAGCTTTTCAAGTTGCCAAAATTCCATGATAGCGAGAAGTAAGAAAACATAGAAGACAGCCGAGAAGGCATGCCTAGTATAATATAAATGTTACCTTCTTGAACTAGCGCGTCTCGACTTGCATCAGCTTCCAATCTTTTTCGTTCCACTTGGAGCTGACATTACCATGGGTTGATGATAAAGTCCTAACAAAGAAAGCTATAGGATATCGAAGTACCGTTATTCGACTCGTAATCTAAAAAGGGCCCTCATAGTTTGTTTCTCCCCAAAGGCGGCTGCTCAATGGATGTAGCTTGTATAGCCTTTGTGACGAGAAGAGCAATACCACTAAGCATCATAGCAGAGCTAAATAGTCAGATGGATACACGTTGTAACTGCGCATACCAAAAACAGCTTGATTACCTTCAAATTTCAACGGTTGACATCGATGCCCCCTATTTCCAAAGTCTCGTATTTCTAAAGCACTATAACTATCATCACTACTACTCAGAATCCCGGCATCCCAGCGGCTATTCTCATTTCCCCCATAGAAATCCCATCTATAGTACCTACCCAATGTCTCATTCCTCAAACCACAACAAGACATACTCTACACACCTCAATTTTATTATTTTTAAGGCCGAATGGGTAATGCCATTTTTCCAAGGCTCACCCTTCTTCCTACTAGGTCCAAGGATAATCAATTATAATGCGAGTTTAGTTCTACAGTGATACCCACCTGTAGATGAACTAATTCCCCGTTGACAAGGATATCTTAATTGCTGACAATATTGCCGGCTCGTATTCCAAGGAGCAAGCGCACGTGAAAGCCCCATGCCGTTTAATTACCATTTCCCTCGGCAAGCTCCAGTCGCGGCGATTTCAATACTTTCCGCCACCCGACCCTGGGATCATCAGATTAGCCCCTAACAGAAGTGCGGGCCCTTCCGTGACTACCGCTCTTCGACATTTTGGAACATATGCTCGATCTAAGAAGCGACATTCATTTGTATTAAGTTTCTCAAGATGGCGAATCAAGATGCTTCAACAGACGCCAAAGGGCAAGTATATTCGATCCCTGACCCAACCAGTTATGGATCATTTCAACGCCAAATCTACCAGTCCCTTCGGGCGCCCCTATTTTCGACCAAGCCTTCCGAGTGGGAATCATTGGCAAAGGAAAAAGTACCACCCACGAGCTTTGGATACGTAGCCGGCAATGCCAGCAGTGGTACCACAGACCGTGCCAACAAAGCCGCCTTTGATCGCTACCGCCTTCGGCCCCAAATGCTGGTCGACACCACCGTGCGAGATGTGAGCACAACCTTGTTCGGGACCACGTACAAGAGCCCGCTCCTTGTTGCGCCCATCGGAGTCCAGAAGATCATGCATCCCGACGCCGAGGAGGCTACGGCGAGAGCCTGTCACAATGTGGGCATTCCCATGATCCTGTCATCCGCCGCTACCAGGACTATCGAGGAGGTGGCCGCGGCAAACGCAGACGGAGATCGTTGGTTCCAGCTCTACTGGCCAAAGCCGCAGTGTGAAGAAATAACCGCCAGCCTCCTGGGCCGAGCCAAGGCTGCTGGCTTTCGGGTGCTGGTTGTCACCTTGGACACATTCACTATAGGCTGGCGGCCGATGGATCTGGACACATCCTATCTTCCCTTTGTCTACGGTGAAGGCTGCCAGATCGGTCTCTCTGACCCAGTCTTCACCAAGTACTACGAAAAATTGCAGAATGATGATCCTCGTAGCATCGCCCAGAAGTTAGCCGAGTTATGGTCGATCATGTGGAGGCCGGGTTCAGTGTACGGGGCTGCAAGAATTCTTACCAATGCCAACCTCATGAAGAAGTCGATTGCCTGGCTAGACGTCATGTACTCGGGCACTTACCGGAAGTGGGAGCATCTCAAGGTGCTCAAGGAGCTGTGGGATGGCCCGATTGTTCTCAAGGGAATACAATCCGTCGAGGATGCGCACAGATCTATTGATTATGGGATGGATGGAATCATAGTTTCAAACCACGGTGGCCGACAACTCGATGGTGCCGTTGCATCTCTAGATGCGCTGGCAGAGATCGGTGCAGATGAGAGGGTTCAAAGCTCACAACTCACGCTCATCTACGACAGTGGTGTTCGTACCGGATCCGACGTGTTGAAAGCTCTGGCGCTTGGTGCCAAGGCCGTGTGCATCGGCCGACCATATGTCTATGGCCTTGCTGTCCACGGGCAGCAGGGCGTTGAGCACGTGTTGAAATGCTTGCTTGCAGACATGGACAACTCGCTCAGTAACTGTGGAAAAGCGAGCATCCACGACCTGGGCCGGAATGATCTCCAAATAAATGTACAATCTAAGCTCTAGAGAGTTAAGTTAGTGACAGAAACAGGCACTTATATGGATGTATGTAGTTTCTCTACTTGTCTCCGTATCTCTTAGGGATCTTACAGCATGTATTTTGCCTCTAGAAAGAATTCTTTTATTCTTAGGAATAGTGGTCTCTGGCGGATAGTGCTATGACGCTCTTAATCAATCTTCACGAGGAAAGACTGATGTTTGCTTTCTTAACTTAGGTAGTCGACGCTCTCGTAAGAAGTTTCAACAAATCTAACGACCTGGCCGAATTGAAGCCATGGAAACTACTCCTTCTTGAGCCTAAACAATATAAGTGGCTATTAGCCAATTAGAACAAAAGGTTCAAAGACTAGTCCATCCAACGAAAGAGCGTGAATATAATAATATCCAGTGACTGTTTCAAAGGCAGCTAGATGGAATTAGTTTCTCATATTTATTCCTCTCCTTATGCTAGGTTATTTAGCCAGTTATTAAGCTATACAAGAGTTTTATTTACAGAGTTTTTATCTTAAAAGTCGCCTTAACAATTTAACTCTCCAAGGGAAAACCTTTTATAAGACTTAAACCTCCTTTCCTCTTCTCAGACTAGAGCGGGTACTCAACAATAATGAACATTCCAGAGAAGTACATGCATAAGATCTAGCTGCACTCACTATCTAGTCTCAATCACAAAGTAGGAATTTGTTTTCATTCTTGCTGCCTCGAAACGGAACGAACTAGAGATGGATAGACTTTGTTGCAATTTTTTATAATTCTAACCGAAGCCCGACTCATATAAGCTAAAGGTCGTGAAGATAGAGGAATCTGATTTTTTCTTTCCACTCAATGGATGCAGTCCGATTTGAAATGTACAAATAGGGGCTAATACACATATCTCTAATCTAATATAGGGTAGACCAGTTTGCTTGACGACATGTACAATACTAATTCCAGCAATCCATACTTCGAAAAATGATGGGAAATAGTACTTTATTTTTACCTACCTATGGAAGTTTAGAGAGATTGACTGATTGGTAGTCACTAAAATCCATAGTGTTTATTTCGCCTTAGAACTCAGACCGGGGAGCAGGTTCACATTATTGACGGTATCTACTTATCAGATCTGGACTCTTAAATCATAAAAGAGGTCTATTCAATGGCCAATTGTAATCTCTTACTACGATTTCCTACATGTTCACAGGAAAAGAGTGCACAAGACGTAAAAGAGCGTATAAGGTCAATTCATATAATCTGAGGGGTAACGACAGAAATTCAAACGAGTGACTAAATACAAAAACTGTGAATAGAAGTCTCTCCTAGGCTTCTTTGATGACTTCGGTACATGAGCAAAGAAATGCCCAATATCAAGGCGCGAGGTAGGCCCGGCTAAGATTTGCCTGCCTTGCTCGATTTGGCTGCGGCGTCTGGGTGTTGCTTGTTTGTATGTCTCAAAAAGTTGTCCCGTCGAGTAAAGTCGGCATTGCATAGTTCGCATATTAATGCATCTCCTCCCTTCTTCTTAACGAAGTGCGTTTCCAGATGCCTCCTCATAATTGGCTGTGTTTGGTTTGTGTGTTGGCACATGGGACAGAGTACTGGCTTCACGTGGGTACGGATGTGTTTTCTACAGGGATTGAAATTAGAGAGAATGCTCAATGTCTGCAGGACATTAGAGTTCTTACCTGGCCTCCGAGGGTGTTGCGTGAACCTTCCCACACTGGCTCGGAGGGTCTCGATCTGTGTGGGTACATGCATCCCATTTGCAAGTACCACCAGCGCATGTGAAGAACGTGCACATGTAACCCCCACGAACTTCCTTGGTGCAGTGCTTTAACAGGGGTAGCGGGATTTCCTGAAATTGTAGACGAGTGCCTGTATTATTGTTTTGCTCGTGTAAATGATTAGGCTCTTGGTTGTTATCTCTAAGTCGAGGGTCTATGGAATTTGGGTCAAGGTTATTAGGAAGGTCGTCAACGAGCTGCAACGTCTAAGGACGTGCTAAAGTTCGAGGCACGTCCATCGAATTTGGAGGAAACGCTGAAGGGTCTTTCGAAGGAGTTAGAGAAAGTCGGTTTCTAATGGGATCCGGGGTGGTGGTTCCTAGGGGGAGGGGAAGTGCGGGATGCTCACCTTCAGGATAGGGGTCGCTCCTAGGGGTGAGACGATGAGAGCGGCGGGGCCTATCTCCAGACATGAGGAATAGTTCGATTTGGGTGTTTTTCGTAGGATATTTCCTTAAGGAGTTGGGAGTAAACCTACACCAGGTCGAAGAGAAGTAAACTTGGACATCTTATATCTACCAACTGCACACTATCATACTGCAAATCGAAGTATTTCTTCCTAATGATGTACAAAGCGTATATCTTTCTTTCTGTTACGGCCCAAAAGAAAGAGTGCAGGCCCGCTATTAGGGCAGCGATGTTACGACTAGTCCTGCGGGAGGTATACCAGATTACTTCCCCCCCATCACCTGGGCAAATCAAAACCAAAGAAACCTTGCTTCGTGTAAACTAAATTCCAAAAAAGGTTAAGAAAGCTTTCAACATGAGCAGGGAGCTTGAAATTACCTCGTTCACGACGCTTTTATGCTCAAGTGTTTGTAGTGCACAATGAGAGAGTTCATTCTATGCCAGCTTGATACTTGGATTGTTCCATAGGCCTTCTTATACCTGAAAGAGCTTGGGAAAGGGTCCGTCGAGCCACCTAAAGCCTTCACTAGTTTCATGGCATGAACAAACTATGCTATCTTAGTGCCGGTCTTAGGTGCTTGCTTCAAACAGGTTGCGTGGGCCTGGAAAGCCATAATCAGGGATGTCTGCGCCGATACGAACCTGCCATTCTTTTGCATCCTTGAATTGAATGGTCAGGTCACAATCGCACGTGGCATTCAACATGGACTAAGGTGGGATCGCTGTCTGCCATCCCTTGGTCAAGACTTTCTTTGGACGAGTGAGCGCTAGCGGGCTGCGGGCCGCAGGTCACGCATCCGTTTGCTGTCCGTTTAGCATGGGTAATATCTGTCCCATTTCATTTGCCCATGCTGAAGAGTAGGAAAGAGGGAAGAACACAGAAAACATGGTTTTGTCTAGGTTGTATTGTGGGGAAAGTGAACCAAGCCCCTTTACTCTAAGCTGGAGGAAACAACTAATATTTAGTATAAAGGGTATCTCTAAATAGAAAAGGCCTTTTCTTAAGAATGAAAAGCATTTCCTTGTTGATGAGTCGATAACGTTTGTGGTGGATACTGCAAGGAGGCTGTCACGAGTAATGACAGAACAATAGATGATACACAAGACCACTAGCATTTTACTTGTGCTATTACTCTTCTTTGAAAGGAAGAACCTCCTACATTATTATCTGAGAATCTGTATCGGCATAATTGTTCATGCGCTAGCTAATATCAAGGCAGAGACAGACCATCTTGCACTCGACACGACAGCCACCCCTGAATGGCCGGCGACAGCAGCTTAAAACAGCGTTGAGTACCTACATGAGGGCTTGTAACTTGCTTGAAATTCCTTTTCGGACACCCTAAAGGAAACTTCACGCCAGGATGACGGTATAAGCGGAAATTAATACTAGTTACACTAAGCGTTCATTCTGGTCACCCTTTCAGAAATTCCTCCATCTTGTGAATTCCACGTACATCAAGCCTCGAACCATCTTGACTGACTCGACCGCTATTAGCGGGATTTAATTTGAGGACGAACCAGAATATTTCGCTCTCGACGGGCTTCAAGCCGTCCAATTAGTGTTAATTAATTAGGCTTACTTTGTGGATATCCCACCGAAGAAGGCATCACGAGCACTGGAATTTCCCTTCAGACTCTCAAGCTTCGAATTGGTTCGTCTTAGCCGGGTTTTAATAGCGTCCTTGCGTTAGACATTCCTTTCCTGCTGAAACTAGTGCACTCTTGCAAACTGGTTGGGCAACATTGAGCGAACGATTTTACGTTTTCTGCTCCGGAAGTTATTGAAGTGAAAGGATAAGTATATGAAATTCCAATCATTTTAATATTCCACCCTCGATTATTTTGGTATTTTGCATTCCAAACTAATAGATACCAGATTTGGGAACTCTTGAATTGCCGCGAGCTTGTTTATGATGGAGCATGGGCGCCTCACCTGTATATCATCACTCAGGTAGGCCAAGCCCCGTTTCCAAGAGGTCAGCCTTGAAACTTCCATCAGTAATGTTCTCCATAATTCGAATAAGAGAGGTGGTTAATTCGATGCTCGGGTGTCAATGGCGGAAACTCCCTTTTTCCCGATGAACACCTCCACTGTTTGTGGTACCAGGCCCGTCTAAACCCAATGACTCATTCGTCTGGCACCTTAAGCGAAATATCCGCAGTCCCTGCCTTACGCCGGGGCCCATGATCAATTAAGAGAATTGGAGTGGATCTTGTCTCTTTTCTCGGCTCTCTGATCAGGCTAGATCTGAACGTCATCCTTGAGACGAACCCACAATGTAGATCGACTTGGCTCAACCAGCATTGGTTAAGCTTCGCACTTCTGGCTTCTTGTTGGTCTCTAGACAAGCCGAATTACCACTCTGGGCAAGCAGAGAGGGAGCTCATGCAGATTTGGTGCTGCTGACTTGCCGAGTTTTCTTCTTCTCAAGTACGGCCAAACCCCTATATCTTGTTCGATTTTGTATACCCTAGCTAGTAACTCAATCTCACCCCTCAGTCCTACCCACGTATAAAGCATAAAAAATGTGCAGGTTTTCATGCCCTATGGATCTTCTATATTTTCATAGCGTCGCGTAATTTGGTTTTTGAGGCTAGGTAGACTAATCTGTAGTCTTTAATATCGTAATCATCTATTCTCTAGTCAGCGGGCGCAACAAGATATGCAAGTAGGGATTTGAAAATCCGCCTTGTCAGTCCAATGTTGCTATTGTAAATCTTAATGACCGAGCTTTCTTCTACAAACCAGATCAATGGGCATATTTCCTTCCAAAAAGTGTCTACTAGGGCTGGAATAGGAATCTGTGCTACTAAATTCTCCTACTGACTGAGAGATGTCAGGCAAATCGTCAGCGCTCCGGCCTCCGGATTTCCGGTGACTGTTGCCAGGGTTTGACGCAAATTTGATGCGGTACTGTTGTGACAAACTCATACCCTGCCTGATATCCTGAGCATGCTTGGTGGAGCCTATATCATCTGCAACGCTCATTATGCTGGCACCTACCAGGGGTCAATATGCTATCATAAAAATGACTTAATTGAATTGTAACCTGAAGTGTAATTCTACTTCATCTGAAAACAATGATCAAGAAAAGCAGCCCACCCTGGTTCCGAGATGTTTAAGCAAGGATGAGAGGTCACTGGACTATCTCTCACCCTACAGTCCATTTCTATATCTAATATTCAGTAATAACCATACAATTTGGACCACACTTGACTACATTGACTAAAATAGAGACCGATATAGGCTGAAGATGAAAAAAAAAAACGAAGTACGGCTGGGCTTGAATATGATGCTTGGACACTTCCAAATTACTTTGTCATCTACCTTCACTTTCTTATTAGCTTCTACACAGCACAGCCTACTAAATTTTATTTAGAGTGGGATCATCTTCATTAATATAACTAAAAGTTGAGCCATACCTTTACCTCACCAGTATGTCGATGGACTTGTATCGTGTACTTCAATCCGGTTCTTTCCATCCCAAGAGCTGATCAGGTAGATTTAGAATAATCCACGGTAGTGACCATTGTCTTTTTTATCCCCCGCTCCTCGCCGCTCGACCTGGAGCTGTTTTGACTCGGTAAAATATCGCCATCGCTTGTCGACGCAGGGTTGGCCACTACGGTCGTGAAGACCTGACTATTTCCTTTCCCTACACGTTCATGAAGCTCGAACTCCTCCGGGGTAAACGTGGTATTGATAGCTTCTTGGCTGCTTGTCTGGTGCCGTAGGTCGTCCTTGCCCTGCACCCTGCTCCCCAAGGACTTCCATTTGCTTCCCTTTATCGTTCCGTGTGCGGGGGTGGTTGCTGTAGTCGCACTCTTGAGTGAGCGCTTGCCGTATGTGCTACCTAAGAACTGTCTGAAGAGAGGACGTAGACAGGGGAGAGAGCCGGCGATGATTCCGATATTCAGCTCTGTTGCTGTCCAGATCGTGATATCCCGAGAATCCCAAACTAAGATGCAGCATATTAGCTCGGAGTCATGTAGACGATAATCGAAGTTCGAACTCACGAAAATCTCCATTTCTTCCGTAGTTGATTAGGTATCCAACCTTGACAAAGGCAGCGGCACAGGCAAAGACACCCAAGCCAAGGATTCCTATCAGTGTGATCCGTGTACGGCGGTGTACGTTAAGCTTCCATAGCATCGGCGTAGGGATGATGATGGCGAAAAGGAGGTCGGTGGTGGCATTCAATGAGACGTTGAGATAACTCAGTGCTTGTAGCGTCCTCGTATCCCAACAGACAGAGGGAACGGTCGGGTCCCATATCACGCGAATATCGGTACACTGGAAGATAATGGTCTAAGTAGCGGTTAGCCAGGGCTGAGATAGGTAATTCCTGGCTATGCGAGGCGGCGAACTCACAAAAAAGCAGCCAATAGTATAGAATAGCATGAATCCCATGATAAAAAGGATAAGGTAACGGTAGAACTTGGTAGTGGCTATCCGGAGCAACGACGCCCCAACAGACAATTTCACGAAGCAAATGGCAAACAAATATATAGGTTGAGCGATGAAATTGAGCTTCATCCCCCGCGAGTACGTTGCGTCATTCAACTCTCCTCTATGTTGACCAGCGCCATGGCGAACCTGAGCAACAACAAACCCGAAGCCAACTAGAGAGGTGATCATCGTAAGGGCCATGAGTGCGTCCTGTACCAACAATCTATCAATTCCACGAACAAAGGTGACTCCGGGGGAAAATAGAATTACTCACATCCCAACCAAGGTTATGGATCATAACAATTCGCACATAAAACCGCTTGATGACGATAATAAAGGCCAAGGCTGTCACTGTCGCGACGGCCCCCAAGATCCTCGGCCCTGCATTCTCGTCTGGGTTGGAAATAGCAGGCATCTGGAGGTTTTCCGCCATGGCCGGCTACATGGATAGATCGTACCAGTACACTACGACCGACGGACAGAGATTGTGGAAAGCAAGAGACGAACATCATGGGGAAATTTTTTGAGAGGGCTCCAGGGGGAATAGTAGCAGCAAAAAAGAGCCATGCAACTCTTGCTGTTCTCTACCAACCGGCCCCTATCGCCGAGACTGCCAAACCAACATACGTACATGCGCGTTACAACCGCGAGTCAGAATGCAGTGTGTTGGGCACCTAATTTGCCTATCACGCATTAGCGGCTTGAAGAACTCAGAGGCCAGGACAGTCGTGTGTGCCATTGAGCGCTGTGGAGAAGGCAACAGCTAATAAGAGCTCTACACACCAGACGAAGGTGGCAGAGAGGCATAGACGATGATGCAAAGAAGGCCATTCGAAACTGGAAGTGGATCTGAGATGCCTGTCAGGGGCGTCAACGTCCGTGATGCTTTGCAATATGCAAGTCACGAAGCGAGCATGCAGGTGATAGCCACCAGAGAGCCAATTGATGCCAGAGCTGCCTTGGCGTCTCCATATCAACGTCAAGGATGGTGGTTACAAAGGTGGGCGATCATATTCGCTCAACCAAAGTTCCCCGACTTGGCAACGAGCGGCCGATGAATGGTCTTAAAAAGGCCGATGGGAGCGCCGCCAACGAGGAGCATTGCATATTTGCTAGTCCATGCTAGGTGGGCGCATTGGGCAGCTCGCTTCGTTTCCTAGATCCGAATGCGGATGTCTGTATGTACGGATTTATGCAGGTGTAAGCGAGGAAGGCATTCTCTGGTGTTTGGGTATTATCAGGAAGCAAGTGATGGGTCTCAAGATCCTCGAGGGGGCAAAAGCAAAACTCATCCTGCGATCCAGATCGCCCAAGGGCAGGAACTCGCAATATAGCGGTTATTCTCCCCGGCTGTGGGGGTCGGCTGTTGGAATTCATCATCGATTCTAGCTTCAGATGTGAGCTGGGGCTTGGATGGACTAAACGCGAATGGTTTTAGTTGCCTGTCATCCCATGTTTCCAGTCCTGCCGCTCGGGAAGGCTGGTGGCAGACAGGCGACTAGACCAGTTCATCTTAGTTTCTTATGAAGGTGCCGAAAGAAGTTCTTGAGGCTTTCGCCAACCCGGGAAACCACCACCTGGGGCTCGCAAAACTTTCAACGTATGCAGGCAGGTTGTTTTCTTTCATAGGCTGTCACGTCCCAAGACGTTCCTTCCTCCAAATCCACTTCGTTAGCCACAATCCGGGTTCATTCGGGGATCTAAATGTGAGCTACGGTAATGATTACAATAATGATACCTTCCAGCGCTCGCTTAATGCTTCATTCATCAATCGGGGGGGACGGCCCACGTGGAAGGGCGGCGGGAAAAAGGAATGCGACATCGCATTATCCCTCAGATTGGCGACGCAAAGTTCATCGATCGATCGCAGCCCGCGCCCTGCACTGATAGATTTGCTTTTGCCTGGGCCTGAGGTGGATCGCGATTGTCAGGGACTGGCTTACTTCATATTGCCACAATTCAATGAAGCTCAATATCAACACTTGGGGTAATCCCGTCGGTCAAACTCACGATTCATCTCTCCATATTCACACGACGAGTGATGGATGGTGGATGCGATGTCGGCTCTGAGGTGCTGTGATTCAGGTGCGACGTACATTGGTGTGGTGCCGCTAGGCTATAGCGGTCTTAGCCACCGAGAAGAAGTCTCCTAGCGCTATGACGTAGGGCAACTCCCTGTCAGCATCGATCCATTAGGGGATTTAGGCACCCAACTTGGCCAATATCCTCCCTTAATCACATACATACTGGACGCTTACCAGCATGCCTTGCGGAATATCAAACAGCAAGCTGGCGGTTGGTAGCATTGCAGCAGTCCATGCGATACGATCCACCATCGGAACAATTCCCTGCAGATGAGCAGCTACTTCATCACACCGGCTGGGATGCTGGTCGAGTCAGTGACGTTCGTTCGATCACCTCGCTTCGAGATGACCTTCCAACTACGTCCTCGCTTCCTCGACTCAGGGGCGAAAGGAGAGCAAAGTCACGATGATGGAATTCAAAAGCGGCCAACAGCACGTTGGTACAGCGTATTCTAGTCCAACTGTGCCAGATCAGATGCATGAATGAATGAATCGGGGATCTGATGCACGCTACCTACAGCGCCTGACCCCTGCTTCCTTGGACCAACAACCGGATCCACGAGCATACAGCCTCAGAAGGACCATCAAGAAGTGTCCTATTCTTCATTGATAAAAAGACTCACTTGTTTCCTGGCCGTGGGTTCGTGTTGGGGGCGTTTCTTTCAGCCCAATGTAAATATAGCACTTACTAGCACTTAAAATTGTAGCCTCCGCCTGTTCGTTTAAGACCAGGTCTTCCATTCTCATTGTTCTCGGTCTCATTCTTGAGCCTTCGTGATAAAATACGCTACCTACTAGGTCTACTACCGTCATGCGTACTTCATTCTTAGCCATCCTACTGTTACAGGGCACATATACAGCCCTCGCCCAGCCAACCGCTTTCGATGTCATCCAGGCCAATGATGAGATATCTCTACTAGCTAGCCAGGCTTTCCAGGAAGCTCAATCCCAGGCCAATGATGCTCATTTAGAGAAACGAAGAAGCCATTGCTCCTGGAAGAACATTCGGGTTCGAAGGGAGTGGTAAGTCAACCCGGATCTTGTTGAGCTGACGAATGCTGGTTTAATTCGTTTTCCTAGGGGCACCCTATCCAAAAAGGAACGCAAGTCCTACATCGACGCAGTCAAGTGTCTCCAGAGCAAGCCTGCGAGGACTCCCGCCGACGCTGCCCCCGGTGCCAAGACTCGCTTCGATGACTATGTGGCCACTCACATCAACCAGACCTTGAACATCCACTACACGGGTAGCTTCCTGTCATGGCACCGTTACTTCACCTGGGTGTTTGAGGAGGCGCTCAGAAATGAGTGTGGCTACAAGGGTACACAGCCTGTAAGTCGAAGCACATGTCCATTGAGATCCAGAGCCCCTTGTCACTGGCTCCAGATAAGTTGACCTGCATGAATGTGCACAGTACTGGGACTGGGCCAAGACTGCCGTCACTGGATTGACAAGCTCCCCCATCTTTGATGGTTCCGACATTTCCATGTCCGGAGATGGCGCCTACGAAGGCTCCCGCGAGGACATCATCCTTGGCAAAAACCAACCCGGACTTACCCCAATATATCTCCCAACCGGAAGCGGTGGTGGCTGCGTAAAGTCGGGTCCCTTCAAGTCTATGAGTGTGAATCTCGGTCCAATCTCTCTGGATAGTCCTGGCGGGGAAACAATCACCAACCCCAACGGACCCCTTTCATACAACCCCCGCTGCCTCAAACGCGATCTCAGTGCCGAGGTCAACCGCCGCTATGCCAATGCCTCTTCCATCCTCTCCAACATACTCAAGCCCCAGAATGTCGCCGACTTCCAATTGCAGATGCAGGGCAAGCCCGGGACCGGCACCATTGGCATCCACGGCGGCGGTCACTACTCCCTCGGAGGTGACCCAGGCCGTGACGTCTTCACCTCTCCCGGCGATCCCGTCTTCTACCTGCACCACTCCATGATCGATCGTGTCTGGTGGATCTGGCAGATGCTTGACCCCAAGAATCGCGTCTTCAGCGACTCCGCCGTCTCCGGCACGAACACCTTCCTCGACTCTCCTCCCAGCGCCAACACCACCCTGGACGACTATGTCGACTTCTTCTACGCCGGTGGAACTCCTACCAAGATTCGTGATCTGTTGAGCACTCTTCATGGCCCTTTTTGTTACGTATACTTGTAAGGGGTATCTAAGTGACGGCATGTATATATCAGATTTATATCACTTCCGCATATCCTACCAAGAATTTGAATTAATAGATTATACTGGCCTCGGTAGCCTCCCAATAATTGTACAAACAACTATATTATAAAGTTTCACGGGCAACTTAGTATCAGTGCCGGTATGAGTTGACAGAGAATTCACATTCTAAGAATATTAATGTGTGAACTTGTGTTGACTGTGACTAGAATAATATAACCAATACCCAAACTCGCGTCTTTTTCTTCTCCCTTTTCCTATTCAAGTAATCAATCCAATGTTTAGGACATCTCAAACTAGCGAGAAGCATCGTGTATGTTCAAATCATGGCTTAATCAAGGCGTGAACTATGCAGTATCAATAATTTTGTATTGCGTATTGCATTTGTCGGAGAATGAAAATTATTATCTCATCAGAGCCCTATATTAAAAACATGTCTTAGTTCTCTAACACAATTACTCGAGATTTATATAGAATTCTAGGTCCACTTCAGTCTCATTCTCGCCAAGAAACTATAGATTCAGCATAAGAATGCAAGTGCAGTTTTCATCATAGGATCCCTCTTGTGGATATCTCGAGTAAATAAAGGGAGAAATACAAAGATGAGACGAAGAAGAAGGGTTTCATGTTCTAATAACTGCCTGGGGTAGAAAGAATATGTATAGCAATATGTGTTTGCAGAGGAAATGCTGCTGGGAGAAAAGGCTAGAGTTCGACCCTGAATTGGACTGTAGATTCTAGAAGAGAATTTGTAATCCAAATTGGCCGAATGACGTTGTCGCCTTGTTCAGAGAGCGAATCGGAAAATCGGGAGATGAATATACGTGAAGTCTCCGTCGGGAGAAAAGTAACCTCTTGTTGCACCCGATGCCAGCAAGCAGCGGATCTAGTGTTCTTACTCTCCGCATGACTAGATCAAATAGTACAGACTGAGAATATAATGCAATTTAAATATTATGCGGAGTAGAGTAATACTCTATGATGAAATCGGGAATTCTTTTCTCTTGACCCGAATCGAAGACAAACGACCCTCACTCTCACGCACCAGATACTACAGGGTATGTATATTGCTGTGTGGCTTAGACACCAAGGTGTATATTTAGGGGCAGCCATTTGTTATCAGATACGAGGTTTACGTATTTAAGCGGGAAAACAGAGGTCAAGGATGC